ACATGAAAGGGGGGGGGGGGCTCTAAAAAATTGTCATGCATTGAAAGGGGTTCTCAAATTGAATTAGAAAATTTTCATGGGTTATTTGGGAATTGGGGCTTCGAAAATTAGTCCTAAAGGGGGGACCTGTTTAAAATTAAGATTTTTGAGGAGAAATCTTTATCCCCCCCCCCCCTCTCGACATATTAAATGAACTTTCCCTAAGAAGGTTGGCCAAAGAGATGTTTTAATTTTATGTATAGGTAAATTAAATTACTTCTTCTTAAGAGCCACTTCTTGTTATCGATATTAGAATCTGAAGATGAGTTAATTAAGTCTGCTCGCATTGCTACTTAGTACACTTCGATTTTATCAGTGAGTTTGGTTTTCAGTTGCACGCATATCAAGTTGACAAAATGCAGACCTACCCTACCACCCCTAGGAAGCTGAGAGCAAACACGAATGACGGCTTTCAAGTCAAAGTCAGAGCTCGAACAAGAGAAAAACCTTAAAACTCTAAGTTTTGACTCATTAGTATCAATAAAACGGCTATTTCCTAATCCAACTATAAAATAAATTAGATTCTAACCCGATTGCTAATGGCAATGCGGAAGAGATCGCTCGGCAGATATCTTGTTCTTTTCATACGATCCTTTTCATTATATTTACCCTAAATTGAAATCTTTTGTTTACATTTACCGACAAGAGTAAACAGCCTGTTAGTTTTTTTCCGCCTCTAAGAAAATATGACAAAAAAATAGATATTTTATTTTTTAAACTGACTCAGTGTGGTGTGTAGAATTTTGAAATGCAGATTTTTAGGCAATTCCGTAATAAATACAAACTAAAAATTAAGTTTTTAGTCTTTTTGTCGTAAAAAACGGGAATTTTTTTTCATTTCAGAAAAGACAAGCTTAGATGGAGCTTTTACAAGTGTGTGAGTGAGCGTAATTATCAATATTAATTTTTGCTCACCACCGTCATAGCAAAATTGGAAACTAAAGGATAAGTATTGGCTTTCTTCATTTGTTAGAGAACCTATTGAGTTTGCAAACGTCGTACCTTCTAGAGCGCACGGCGAGTCGTAGATTACTATCACTATTTATTCCCTTGTCTATCCTATATCCGTCTATTCGTGAAAGTCTTACTTAGCGATTATCAAACTTGCGCACGATATGGGAACCTGAATTTGAAGTGTTCTTAGCATTAAATTACGTCGATCAAAACCGATAATAGTTGGTGTGCTTTAGATGAAGCTCTGTGAAGATGGAGCTAGAAAAGAAACGAGGAAAAAACTAGAAAAGGAAAAACGAAAGAAAATAAAGACCTTTTAATGAGGAACAAAAATATTGGTTTTGATCACCAAATTACTAACACTGTGTTACCAAGGAGACGTTTAACAGGATGTGCTCAACACACGACATTCATTTCCTCATTTTGAATTTGAATTTCAAAAATATCATAAGCACTGCTAATTTTGACAAAAAAATTCAAAATTTTTTGATCAATTAAATTACGTCTGCTAAGCTACATTTGTTTTTCCACTTGGCGCTATTTCCTTTATCTTTTTATTAATCAAATTGGAAAAGACAATATCTACTCGATAGAATGTCAACAACACATAGACTATTTCAAAACTTTTGCCAATAATTTAATAATTTCTATAGCTTTTTGTGCCGATGACAAGAGGAATATTCCAATTACTTCGTTATCAACCAATCTAATTTTTATTTTATCTTTGTTTTCGAGAAAGCTAAGGATTTTCTTTAGTTGATCTTAATTTTGTTGGTATTGTATTTAGACCAGCCGCCCTGATCATCCGGGCCTTATTCAGAAAAGATAATATGCACTGAATGAATTAGTCGTCGCTGATTGGCTGATCAATTGATTCTTTGTTTGTATTCATTTTGAAAGGTTTCCAGTCACGCGTTCCCGTTGACACTTCGCAAGATCAGATGCATCGCTAGCTACAGTTTATAGTAATTTCTTCGAAAGGGATTATTCAATGAGCGAAAAGATAGACGGAACTGAACCAGCCAAGACTAAAGATGCCGAAGAAAAAGAAAAGACTGAAAAGCCAGATGAGTCTAAGGAGAACAAGTTGGAGAAAGAAGAGGTTAGTGGGGACGTAAAATTCAACTCGAAAGCGCGCTCTTGTATTGTCTAGTGCTCGCGCCGTTCAAAATGCGGTCGAATGTTTTCTTTATCCAAGGCTGTGGCTAAAAGACTCACAGCTATTTGAATAAGAAATACAATTTCTTAGCTATTGAGGAGCCATTTTAAACCATACTTTGAAAATATTTGAAATAGTTTATTTACAAGAGTTTGGGAATGATAACATGTGTGAGCTTCGGCCTTGTTCTTCATTCTGCACTTCATATTATCGAATGATTGGCACGAGAAATGCTCTCTTTTCTGCTACAAGTGGGCCGTCGAGTCAGGAGTATTGATTTCATCTGGATTAAATGACTCATTTGATACAATATTTCCATAGTATGGCTAATAATCTGTCTCTCTCCCTCTTCAAGTACAAGGCATTTTATATAAGCACAAGATACAGCTAATTTTTCGAATTCTGATTAAGCTTTCTGTCGTCAAGGAGCGGGTTTTTTTTATTAAGATTCATCAACATGTGCTTTTCTTTTAATTTAAATCTTAGCAGTGGTAAAGTAGACTTGTATTTTTAATTTGCGTTGAAGTATTGTCTTTATTATTAAGATTCTCGCGTCATTTCCTCAAGTCGCGCCAAGATTTAGTTTGTCCAAACTTCATCGAGAAAGATCCAAAATCTTAACTTAGTAATACAGTTTGATATTTGTGGAATTTACTATGAATGAATACGGCTGTTTATAGGTACTTATACCACTATGATAAAGCCAGTCAAGCAATGAAAGAAGGCCAGTGAAGCTTTACTTGTTTTGAAGGGAAAACATCTTACACTGCACTCTATTGTATTCCGCGCGACATCCTCATTACCTCTAGATAATTGCCATTATCGCAATGAGTTAGTCTTTCAAGATCTTCCAACGATTCCAAAATCCCTAAGGATTTTAAAGGTTATCTCTCAGTCTACTCTTAAGTCATGCATCTCGGTATTTTCTAACGAAATACTTATATYTTAATTCTTGGGCTTAAATTCAATTATTTTTCAGGGCATTAATTGACATAACAAGCAAACTTTGTAAAATTTGCGCGAACTTATTCAAACCATTCTTCAACACACACACAMAAAAAAACAGCTTGGAATTTTTTTATGAGGCAATCGAAGTTTTTATCTTGATTGTCACTCAAGTTCTTCAAACGTCTTAAGGAAAAACACACGAAAATTTGTTTGAGCTAAGCGATATTCTTAGCTTAAGAATATTACACCAATTTGTTTTAAAACAAACACGTTTCGATTGCTCTCTACTAGTACAAGCTAAGGTTTATTAGGCTTTAACCCATAATGGTTATTCCGAAAATCTCACATCTGCTGGCAATTTTTCTTGAAGATATTTAAATATTAACCAATATAGTAGTAATAATTCAAAAGCAATTTCTTTCACCGAATAATGAAATTTATTTTTTCTCACAAATGGAATAATAAATGAATGAAACTTGTCGTTTTATTGTGTAGGACAATTTCTCTTTTCTTTCAACTTATCAATCACGTTTATGTCATGTTCTAGGGATTTCAATTGATCTTTTATCATTTTTGAAGTCAATGAACAATTATTTACCCGAAATATTTTACACTTGGGAATTGTTTGACCAAAAATAAATGGAAACATCTTTCTAAGGCGTTAAGTTTATTTTATATTTCAGTCGTTATTGCAAATTGAAATTCTGAAATATATTACGATTTGTGGTCGCGTATTTTTTTCGTTAATTAATGGAATATTTTATGTTTGCTATCTAGAAACCTCAGAATTTTCTTAATTCGCTGAGTTTTTCATTAGAATTGAAAATTTCAAACTCCACACTTAAGTGGAAAAATAGCCTTATTTTTTAMCAAAAAAATTTTTTTCTTACTTTTTGTAAAAGTTTTGAATTGTGTAAAGATTAGTGTTGACTACCTTTCAATTCTGTAGCCTTATTTTATGATTCTTGTTGTCACAGTAAAAGATATTCCCACATTTTGAAATGYTTATAAATAAAGTTTGAATTTATGTGTCATGTTGCTAAGAAAAAGCTATTAGTGGCATTGTATCTCATTATTATTGCTATAGTTTGACACAACACACAAGTATAACAAATAAAAGCCTAAAGAATAAATCTTTATAGTCTTAAATAAAAATATAAATGCTTCCTTGACTTAATATGCATTTATTTCAGAAAAAAATATCTAGCTTGATGTGCAAGGAGATGTATTGCCTACAAAATATAGATCAAATATATATGTAAAGATGTTCTGTAAAGTTATCTTTAAAGAAATGATTTAAGAAAACCAATGCATTTCTAACAGCTGAATTAGCTTTAATGACCAAATATAAAAAAATATATATATATATACATAATCCTCTTTGTTATAATTATTATATTTCTAATAAATAAATGATATGTTTATAAAGTTTATATATTAGATTTATGTATTATTGAATAGAGAGGAAATCAAAATACTAAATAACTTTTAGAACTTATTGTCCTAGTTGACCTTTCTAATCTTAATGCCATCTTTCGAAACATATTTTAAATAATAATAGATTCATTCCTTGTTTCTTTACCCRTGACAAACCTCTTCCTGCCTCAAGTAGGCTAAGAGTCAGTCAACATAGTTGTATTTCCTTTGGGTGGTTAGCTAGTTAAGAATTCAAATATCTCGAAGAAGGTTTATTTTTCTTTAACTGTATGAATATAAAATTTATTAACTTTCCGAAATATCCAGAGTCTACTSTGCATATATTATTACTACCAGAAAAGTGGTCACACAACAAGCCAACTGATAAGAACACAAACAACTCATTATTTCAACCTAGCTAATACTTCACAATATTGAATGTCATTGAGTTGAAAAATGCAGAATGTACTTAAGGGATTCAATACTCTGTTAAAGAAAAAGTTTTTGAAACTTGATTTGAAATAGCTAATCSTAAAAGAGAAATCAGAGTTTGATCAGATGCAGGCATAACGTTTTTAACTAAGCTTCTTATTAAGTATACATTTGTTGTTATGATCTATACATGCATTTTATTGTATGTGGCTATTACCTATTTATGGAATTTTTGTCGTGGTTGCACGACCAAGCATGACCTGAAACGTCTGCTGACGTAAACAGACAGAAGCCTGATAGTGCATATCTACCGTTAATCATTGTCAGCTTTAACAAGCTATCGAACTTTTTTTGTAAAATCTGTTTCATACTACACATCATAGACTGCAAATTGTACAAGGTTTTGGTATTATTTGGGCATACTGCTTTGAAAAATKCCATTGTAAACTCTTTTGACATCTCAAATATAAACGCTTTGCAAAAAGACTGTAAGTAAGTCAATTGTTTCAAAAGAAAAAGAAGTTCAAGTTAATAAAAAGAATCTTTTTGTTTTATTCTATGACTAAATACAGGCGTCTCAATTTTCCCCCCTCTTTTTCTCGACGTACCGACGAACAGATGGAATTCATGTTTAACGATATTTTAAAATTTTGTTGAATATTGTATATTAGACATAATTATGCTCGAAACACAGATGGGCTCTCAAGAACCACAATCAAAATCGAAAGAGCAAATTTACGAAACGAAGAACCGCTTTTTCTTAATCGCGCATTCTAAAATCTTTCTTATCTTTACATACAACTTATTTTTGGATCATTAACTGGAGTCCTGGCTTATTTCTAGACTCCTACTTATTATCTTATCTCGTAACGACGATGATAATATCTAGTATATATTTAAGAATTTCCTGAAGTGCACCGAAAAGTATTTAACTTTACATTATTAATCTGTGGTTTTCGCTGATAAGCAATGCCTCTTAGGAGAACGTCAAAATCAATTGTTCGACTATATGTAACACATACCAAATGGATCAACCACCAAATGGATTAGTCTAATCCTGGAAAAAGAAAGAAAGAAAGAAAGAAAGAAAGAAATCAAATGAATATCGGTAAAAATATAATTTTAAATTTGACCTTAATTATACGAATAATCAAACAGCAAAGCCCTGCATAAAAAATGGGCCGGCTTGAAAAAAAAGAAGAAAAAAATTAAGAACGTAACTTCAATGTTACGAATCCGCTTTTCAGTTCTGAAATTAGTTCGTAGCTTGTATTTTTTTTCTTGATAATTAATTTTAAAAACTGATATAAGCAATTTTATTACGGTCGAGATCTTTTAATTCTGTGCCTTTTGCCAGTAATTTTAAACATGGTTTGCGTTTTTGTTTGGTTTTCAATCGTTCTCCGGAATTCTGAAACTTTCCAGATCGTTTAACGCAAATTTGTTGAACGCAGTCTCTCATATTAAGCATGCGCATAAGAAAATTTGCCTCTCTTAGATCCTAGATGTCACATGATAATTGGCACGAAAACAATGGGAAACCATTTCTCTGCGCTTTCCATCCACACGAAACTAGCTGTATCGGAAGCCATTTCAATGTTACGGCATGCAGTACCGTACGGCGTTTTCCTCTCTTCCGAAAACCGCTTTATGGGAAGCCATACATGGTAAGCCATTTAAGTGTTGCGGCATGTAGTACATATTATACAGTACGTTTCCAACTCATACGAAAACCGCTGTATGGGAAGCCATTTCAATGTTACGGCATGTAGTACCGTGTATACTATCAGTATGCAGTACGTTTCCCACAAAAGCCGCTCTATGGAAAGCCATTTCAATGTTAGGGYATGTCACGTGCACTCATACGAAAACCGTTCTACATCTGATTGTCTGTGATTTAAAAGCTTGCAAGGCTTTATGGTGTTCCGTGACCGTGTCAGTCACATGTCTCATTCTTACTGAACGTGCCATGCGCTGTGATTTGACTTACACGAAATCAACTGTATATTTATTTTTTGATCATAGTTGCTTAAAGTTTCTCAGTAGGACACCTTTATAAACCTCTAAATATAGTCGTTTGCCAGCATTGCTGTGGGCATTAGTCCTGCTGTGTGCTCTGTTTTACTCTTATTAAGTTGAAATGTCACCACGGTAGGTTTGCATGTACTGAGGACAGTCACATGATTAATGGTGGTCAGGTTAGCTCACGATAGCCATGTGGTTACATTCAACGACACTGAAATGGCTTTTCACAGAGTGTGAAACGATACGAAAAGCACATTAAACGGACATGCTGTAACACTGAAATGGCTTCCCATACAGCGGTTTTCGTTTGAGTGGGAAAAGTACGGTACTAGCAGCACACTAAACGGTGAGACATTCCATAACATTGAAATGGCTTCCCATACAGCGGTTCTCGTTTGAGTGGGAAACGTACGGTACTAGCAGCACACTAAACGGTGAGACATTCCATAACATTATAATGGCTTCTCATACAACGGTTTTCTTATGAGTGGGAAACGTGCAGTATACTGACAGTTATATACGGTACGGCATGCCGTAACATTGAAATGSCTTCCTATAGAGTACGAAGTGTACGGTTTTAATAGTACACAGTACAGAACAATTAGAAACCCATTAAGTGAAAATGCTAGTATAAAATAAATGGACCAATTTTGTTACAAAAGCTCGCCGATTGYAATTAGTGAAAACAACCTTTTATATCTTAGGATACTTTTGTATTTATATTTCATTGTCTCATTCATAATAAGTTACTTTTCTGGAAACAAAGCTTCCAATTGACACGGAAAATAAGAAATAGCTCGTTTTGTCAAAGAAATGATCATGTAGGCCTCTAAAACTTGTAGCGAGATATTTTTACTCTTTAAAAAAAGAACTACCATGTAGTATTTTACCACAAGTTCTWTCACTGTAATATTGACAAGGAAATGTTTTTTTCTTAATTCCTTTACATCTCAATGTGAAAAATCACATTATCCATGGTCGGTTTTGAGAAGGTCGTATGGCTAGACTTTCGACCAATGGCTAWAGATTTTATGTCAAATTGGTCAATTAATTCTCAGTGTTTAGGAAAGTATTGCCCACTAGAAATKCTCTATTAGATGCCAAAGGTGATGTCCTAATCAAGCTTTCGACACTTAAGGTATTATTCAAAGCCAAATGCTTTGTTTATCGTTAATGTTGATACATYTTCATGGGTATACATAATTAACTATCCTATCAATGAAAGCGCCCCTAACACCAAACAATTTCTAGTGATTTTCGTGCAAGATTCTTAATAGGAAATAGTAAAAAACATTCCTAAATAGCGTWTTTTGGGCAAGCGTGCCCTTAACCTGTGTCCGATTTCCTCATATCATCATTGGTGTCGAGTTTCTCATTAAGATCATATCACRACCAAGTGATTTAGTTTGGTATATGAGCTTTGCTTTCTTTGTGGACAATTCATCTCACTCACATTGGTCAAGTCTAAGGTCTTTGTTTCTCCCAATTGGTTCATGAAACTTCTCCACACAAAAGAAAAACACGATGTTTTGAAATACTAAAGAATGCCTGTCGCTATCACTCCTAGGATTCATTAGCCACGTATCTGTACGTATCTGATCCCAGACTGTTCACACCGCCCGGACAACGCTGTTTATTACAGCTACTTCTCTACGATAAGTGCTCGGCTCTTAGCTGATAAGAAAGATCTTATCTGAACTTGACAATGATGGACTATAGTCTCTATAGCTTTTTCGTAAGTACAAATACTATTACTCCGTTCCGTAATTCGACAAAGTTCGGGTTGAGCGTTTGAAAGATAGACGCGTTTTAAAGTTTATAACCTTGAAATGCTCAGTTCGAGTTTGGATTATGATTAAACGGATTTAAAGTTACACGGGCGTGGTGATCTGCCAAGGATTGACAAGTAAGATCTTGAACGTATAAATACCAAGTTAACATATCGTTCCTGAACATATAACTATATGGCGTCCGTTTTTAATTCACCAAAAACGTAACCTTGAACTAGGAATTCCTCTCAAGAATGTCCAGAAATTCAATCTATTGGAGCTCTGTCTGCTCTGTAAGAAGATAAGCTTGGGATTTAGGAAATAGCTTTTGACAGCGAAGTAGTTATTGATTGAATACGTAACCTGGTCTGTAAACACCTGACATAGACGCGCAGATAAATTTACATTAGGCTYACCTTAGTTTATAGATTATATTCTAATCTTGTGTCAGATCTTGGGTAGCAATTTTAGGGCCATTTTTTGCCATCATTTCGGGAAATCCCGCGGTATCGTTAATTTTTTTGTGTCAAAAAATTGAGAGTCGAGCGCCATCAAGTTCAAAGTTGTTTACAGCTTTGCTGTCATAAACCCTCGCATTTTTAAATCAACTTTGTTGTATCAAACTTTGAAAAAATATATAAACTTTTGAATCTCTTAGAACAATTTCATCTAACTTTATCTTAGAGTTCCTAGAAAGCTTAACCCGAAAACTAGGAAACTTAAGTTCCTAGAAAAATGATTATATAATTTATTTTTTAGTAAATTATTATTATTTTAAGAAGGAGGATTTAGAGACCGCGCATCTCGTTAGGAAGCCAAATAAGTTACTCGCAAGCTGTTAAGTATTTGGGGTAAAAAAGCCCTTTTTAAAATCTTTTTTAGCAGATAATAATTCAGAGATATTTCAGATATGTTATATTTCTACAGTTCGTTGAATTTTAGTTTGTAGGTCAATGTTTTTTCRAGAGTTTTGACATGAAATTGGTTTTCGTCGATCAGGTCCCATGAAAAATTAGCCAACTCTGAAAAACTTTTGTTACGCACAATAATTTTGAATGAATATATAAAAAATGACCTTTGAAAATAAATGATATGATTCTTTTGGTGACGATTTTCAGTTCTTTGAGCGTTTTAGACCTTGTATCAGAGAAAAAACAACCAAACGAACCAACTATCTTTGTGACCTTAATTACCAACACAGTTTCAATAATTAACAAACGTATAGGAAGATGTCATTATTGTCGGTCTTGATGAATATTTTATGATRTGCAATGGTCGATATATACTGGTTTACGAGATATCCAAGCTTAGAAACCAAGAAATCACTTCTCAAACAAACTGAGCTACAATAGACAAACGCTATTTCATAAGTTCTTTAAGTATTTTCAAGAACTAATCGCCAGCGAAGATGGAGGTCGAGGTAAATGTGAAAATTGTTTTGTTTWATACTCATAAAGTTTATATTCTTTGAATTAGCATAATGGTGGTTAAGRATTATTCGAAAAAACTTTATCTGTTTTGTAATTCCAGATGTCGGTTGAAAATCTTTTTAACTCGATACAAATTTTTGATTTTCTTACCAAGAAAACTTCGGAAATCCCCTTCCAAAGTTATCTCTTCACTGAGTTATAAATGGCGTTCAACTTCTGTCGATCAAACTTAACTCAAACTTCAGTTTAGACGATACATGCTGTCTTTGAGTTTTATAACTGTAGTTTTGTTGTATTTTCTTTTCTTTTCTTTTCTTTCTAGAGACTTGGGGCATGAAGTTTTCGACAAATTAGTTAATTACTTAAACAAGTTGAATTCTAGGTCCTCTCAAATCAGCACTTACAATCATCAATTGAWAGCACAACTCTTTTTTTAGCCTTAGTTAAGTTCTTATATTTTTATTTCAAAATTTAAGAGAAAACAACCTCTTGTTTTAGTCATTTATTACTTCCAACATCAGTATATTTGGTCTTTTGTTAACCTAACTGCTTTAAAAGAGAAAAATAAATTTGACATTAGAACCTAAAAGTAAAAAAAAATTGGTTGCTAACTAGTAGTTATGTTGTGAAGAGAAACGTCGTCTCCAAAACATTTTTTACGATGCTTGAACAAGTCCATTAGGCGAACATTATTCTTTGGCAAATTTAATTAAGCCAGTTATTAAGCATTTATRAGCGACAATGTAAACACTCTAGGTGTTTCAACCGGCTAGATATTCTAGTCTCATGAACTCTTTAAATTAATAAGTGCGTGGATCTTTGTTTGAAAAAAAATTCAAAACTCGAAGGGCGTGAATTTTTAAATCTCTGTTCTTTAAAAACAATACTTGAGATGCTTTACTAACTTATTAGTTGTTGAAACCCTCCTCTTCTACAGTATTTCATTTTAGTCCTAACTAACAGTAGTGCAGTTTCCAAAATGTCATTCAAAAGTGACTTTTCCATTACTCTATTGTTCTAAATTACTTTTAATAAATTATCTTAATTTGTATTTTAACCAACGCACTCAAGCAAGTGTCCTCCCTGAATAGAAATTTCCCAATTACTGACTTAGACTTTATGTTTGCTTTTACACTTTAAATAAAATGGAAGAACTTGTTGCAATGTTGTTAAGCGTTTTTTTTATTACCTCTAGCCTTTGACGAATGGACTTCAATATTCACCACAGCAAGGAATGCAAACTTACAGTCCTGTATCTTCACAGCTACAGCCAATAGTCCAAGACGCAACACAACAACTTATACAACAACAACAACAACAACAACAGCAGCAGCAGCAGCGGCAGCAACAACAACAACAGGTTGCTGTAGCCGCTACTTCGCCCTCAGCGAGCGATGAAGCCGGACACAAACGACTCCATGTTACAAATATCCCGTTTAGATTCAGAGATAATGATCTCAAGCAAATGTTTGGGGTAAGAGTCAGTTTATTTTTTGAATACATGAGCAAATAAATAAATAGATTTTATTAAGCTTATAATGATATATAAAAATAAGATGTTAACAGGTTAGATCGTTACTCCGTTATGCTTGAAAAATAATTCCTTTTTTTTTCTTACAGCAATTTGGAACTGTTGTAGATGTTGAAATAATTTACAATGAACGGGGTTCCAAGGTATAGTATTGTTGTCTTAACATACGCTTGCACAATGATTCATAGCCCTAGCCTCTCAACTCTGGGTCTGGGGTTCCATTTCCAGACTCAGCATCACGCGTGAGAAGACTTTTGTAATGTCTCTCACTTGATTCAAGAATTTTTCTCTGGATTCTCCGGTTTTCCTCCCTCCACGAGACCAGCACACTGTGCCCTGACTTAGATCAGCCCAGAGGGTGTTTCAGGGTTTGATACAAGTTGAAGGGTTTTTTGAATATCATCGATGCAGTTCAATTTGGAGGACAATTAGATRAAGTTCCTTCCTGGGGACATCCTGCAAGGAATCTATATCTTAAGTTAAAGATTAAAACAAATTGCCTTGAAATATCGTAATTGAATCAAACTCTATTTCCTTCGATAGCGTGAGCCCATTTTTGGTCTTAGCCAAGCAAAGATTATYAGTCGTAAATTCGCTCGATAGTTTGAAAAATAGAGTCCTCATTACTAATAAATTCCCATTGAAACGCTTACAATCACCTTTCATACCCAGTAAATCTAAAAATTTGAATTTATTAACGAGACGTATTTGACTCATTAATATAAGAATAGAGGAATTCCATTGGTCGCATTCCCACGGTTGCAACGAGAAAACCAATTAAGTGTCAAAMCCATTTAAGTGCTGCAGAGGAAGCTACACCCGCTACAGGCGATGATGTGAGGCGTTTCTCTCGTGCGTGCTTCAAACATACRCGATGAAATTTTCTATTTTTGCTCTGATTGAACTTATAACCTTATTTACGCGAATATCTTTCAGTCTTTGAGTGGTTTTCTGTTACGGGAAATCCACAATCTTGACCTAGACTTTTCGATCATGCAGTTCTATTTTTAACAGAGACAAGACCGAAACGAGGAAGCAACTAACCTATCAAAGAAAAAACCGAGAATTCTCGGCTTCGTTTTATTATTTTCGCTCCCTTTTTTTCGTCGCCGTAAGAAACAATAATATCAACTTTTTCACTCTTGGAATTTATGCGCAGGAAGTCGTGGTAGAACTTTTGAGTACCTTAGCTAAATAGTCATAGAATTTCGTGTCTTTTTCTTGTTGTCATTGACCCTTGTTTCCGCGCATCTAAGCACTTAAACGGGTGTCATATCCTTCATACAGTCGAACAATAGTCTTGCTTTTTGCTTTAAACATGCATTAGTGTTCATGCATTAAATTCAGCCTCAATTTTTCTCCATTTCAAATCATTTGGTTTCCTCCAAAATGCTTTACATGCTAAATTCCAATTCAGATGGAAGTTAGCAATGTCCTGCCTATGATCAGACCAGAGGCCTTCAAATCTTATCGATGCCATTGAAACAACGCTTTTTTAAGTTCTGGGTTTTTTCCTTATTCATTCAGCGTTCACCTCACTTTTCTCCACATTTTACATCATTAGGAAATAAAACCCTAATTACCTTAGGTACCACTTTTACGAGAATGCTTTTCGTACTTCATTTTGTTTGCCTCATTAACAGAGTCTTTAAGACTTCCAAAAATTTGATRAAGAAACAAACATTTGAAGAAGAAAAAGTATTCAAATAAAGAAACAAAAATGTGTTACGTRCTGTCGAAAACGCATTCTTTATTGCGCATGCGCAAACAACTATCRAGCGTCAAACGGAGTCTTTCAAAGTAAGTTGTTTGTGATCAACAGGGATTTGGATTTGTGACGTTCAGTAATGGTGAAGATGCAAACAGAGCGCGGGAAAAATTAAATGGGACGATCGTGGATGGCAGAAAAGTAGAGGTAACGACACTCGCTCCGGTCTCTCTAATTGTTTGCTTTTTAACTTAAATTCAAAAGATAGATTTTTCTTGGTATTGCGAGGGTTCAGAAATAGAAGGCGAGGAATTGATAAGGAGAACAAAAGAAATGGTTTGAAGGTATAGTTCTTCAAGATAACACTGAATAGAACTATGTATTTTGCAACAGCAAGAAAGACTCGAGTATAGCAATCTCTTGCATCGCAGAGCTGATTGCAAGACTGCATCGAATCCTGCAATACCAAGAAAGAGTTAGAAATGTAATCTTGTTGCTGTGTAAAACTCTTGAACATTATTCAGCAGTCAGTTAAGACTTAAAAACTCTAATGTTTTCTGTACTAATAAAGATATTTTGTTGTGCATCTATAGTCTGTCCACAGAGCTAGCAAARCATACTGGAGTGTAGTCTGAATAATGAATGACCATATCGTTGCATGTTATGCAAGTTATGCATGTCTTGCTATTGACACTGAGCATTCTTAATTCAATCAAATAGGTCAACAATGCCACTCCTCGACCGCTTGCCAAAAAAAGCCCGTCTCCCACGCGAGGACCATATAGCAACGGTACTGCATGCCTTGTTCTTCTTTGTCTCCCTCTGTAGTTTGCCATCATTAACTATCATTGCTATCGTTACCTGTTAAATGCTATATTCTCTTTAGAGAATTTATCTTTAAATTCATGTTTTTAGGACAATTAATATAATTTTAGTTGTGTGATGTTGTGTTGCATGTATAGAACTTTCTCGTGATCGATCGCATGAACAAAAATTTCTGCCACAAAAAAAGATGATAATGATGATGATGATGATGAAATACCCAATAGGAATAAATAGAGCACTTGTTGAATTAGACTTGCATTATATACCATGTATTACATCAGGAGAAATCTAGAAGTAATCAGTGTTGAATGTGTCACGTAATCCATCGACATCGATGTAATGTCACGCATACTGTCAAAGTCGCACAAGTTCAAAATGTCACGCATATTTTTTAATGCATATTGCGACGAGAGAGCTAGACTACCAGACTGTTACAAATTTACAATTTTTTGTGGAGAAAAAGTTAAGACTATATTGGCCTTTTTCAAGTTCAAACAACCTTGTAGTGCAAAGGATTGTGGGAGCTTTTTGATTTCGTCCGCAAATTCATTCCCACAATCCCTTGCGCCATGAAGTCGTAATCAGTCCTCCTCTGAACTTGGGTAATGCGAATTTTGCTCGCTTGTCGTTGCACCACTAAATATGAATAACACACAGGAGTCGAGAAAACTTCGTTAATATAACACATCATAGCACCAACCAACCAATTAAAGAGATGGGGGCTTGCGCTTGCGTATTTAACTATGCCTCGTGAATCTCATATGATCAGCAGAAATCTTGGTTAGTACATCATGTAGATGAATATAGATAACCATATTCTGTGTTAATTCCTAAAAGAAGAAAGTTACATAAAGCAAGTTTTCGACAAAATGTTGAGCTAGGTTCGCAAAGCATTGTGGTTAAAGCRCATCAGMCGCCGCCATCTTGGATCACCTTCRTCAACACACMCGTAGACATTATCTGTTTCACATAYGTCAAACACCGTGTGTGCCATGGCTAACCTCATATTSCTGTCACGATTGACCGCACAGGCGTCTTCAGCACTCGCTCAATCGTCGGGGAAGCRATTTCCCRMCCGGCTGTGGCACTCTGGGTGTTGTACGTGCTCAGTTTGACTGATTATCGATTGATTTAATTCAGGTCTTTCACGTAGTGTGAGAGGAACGAGAAGAGGAATATTACCGATTACCAAGTTTACTACCAGGGCTATTCCTCAGTTAGCAATCCCTGCTGGGTATGAGGCGGCTGCTTATCCTGGGTAAGAGGATATTCTATTGATATATTTATATGTATTTATGATTAAAAAGCGAATGGTTACTACTGAGGTGAGCGAGA